TGTGTGTGTGTGTGTGTGTGTGTGTATCTGTGTTTATGTGTGCCGTCTGTACCGAATTTTCATGCCGAGACGTACAAAAACTACAAGACTTAAACTTTGGCAGCTTACTCTACAGACTCACTTTCGTGTGGCACTCGCGTCTGGTCACGTAAAAATTCTGGGAGGAAAATTGCTTACTCGGGAGTCAGAAAAGCCAAAAAGAAAAATCGTGGTTACCTAACGCCATCTAAAACAAAGGGATTAAAGTGGGAAAGCATCCTACAGTGCGCCATATTACTACACAGTAACCAATTTACAATACTCAAAAATCTTAATAAATTCGAATTAAAATAAACCAAAGCTGTAATGCATCAGGTTGGCGGTGCGATTATGCATTTTTGCGCTAAACTTGCAGATTGCTAACAGCAAAAATGGTTCCTGCATTGTAATTTAAAGCTTGGACTCATGTTTGCTGTGTTTTGGCATTCCGGATGCAGAAGGAAAGAACGTGGGCTGGGATGAAGGTATTGCATTACGGGGCCGCGTGGATCTCCAACGTGCATGATTATCAATTTTTTGCACGAAGCGCGGTCGTTTTCCTCTCGTTCATTGAAATAATTGGCAGACACACCAACTGCGGTGCGAAAATGTACTTTTTGCAGTTTCCCGCAGGATTTTGCCGCTAACTGCATGGTTTTTTCCGGCAGATGCTTCCAGCTAAAATAATTGAGACTGGCCACCGCGACTGTCAGAAGCATACCCATAAAATTTCAGCATTCTATTTTTTCTAATTCCTAAATTAACAACCTACCCACCAAAAATTTGCCGGGCTCGTACTTGAGAGCCGCGCACACCTGGAGACTGGATTTTTAATTTCTAAGTTATACATGGCTAGACACATTTCATTAAAATTTCAGCAGCCTAACTTTTCTGATTCCTGAGTTAGCGATTTACCCACCAAAAATTTTCATGCGTTTGTGCGGGGCAGACGTGCATGGAGGTTAGTACCGTAGTCCTGGGGTGGTACCTGGCTGGGAACTCACTGGCAAAACTTTAGCGCCGGAATTTGCTTAGTTGTCGAGTAGAAATACTCGGACAGACGTACATGCAGACACACACACATGCATACACGTACACCATGGGTCGACACAATATGAGTTCTTGCATTTGCATTTACGCAAAAACACATAAAACGAGTAAGTTCACTACAAAAATCTACTTACCTTCGGCATCATTTCGCTCACAGTAGTTTGGTGATTTATTGATATAAGCAATTTCATTACCACGCAGCGGCTTTTTTCTTTCGGAACGCTCTTTCCTTCGCAAACGCTTCTTTGCTCTTTTTGCTACCTTAAGCAGATATTTTTATGCGCGTCAACATAAACCGAAATGCTACTGTGGCAAAATCTTGTGTCTAGTCATGCGTACTTGTGTTCGTCGTCTAATCAATTTTAGAAATGTGACGGCAGGAAGCTGAGTTTGAAGACTACATTTTCAACTTGAGAAGTCACATTATGAGTTTAACTCTTAAACTGTTTTACAATCCGACACCTCATCTCTAGAGTAGTCAATAAAAACTGTTTAAAAAAAGTCATGAGGTCAACTTCCACTACATCTTATTCCACTAGAATGGGTGCAGATTTGCGTTTACTTCCCAAATTTTAAGACGAAACGAGACACAATTTCGTTCTCCCAAAGTGTTTAGCTAATCGCGTTTTACGAAGTTAGGAATCGGAAATAAGTTTTAAGATTCTGTCGAGTCTGGATCTGCGATTCTTTTGTCCCATATCAAGACCCAAGACTGCTCTTACAAACTCTGAAAGTTATATTCACTTTCTGCATATTGGCGCATTCTATACTGCGCAAAGTTATTTGTGAGCTCTAGTCCATTTAGGTCAAAATTCTAGTCCAGTGTAGGCAAGGATTTTTAAACTAGGTGGTTTGGATCAGTCAGAAAATTATCATTTTGCTGCGCAAATAACTTCTACTTGTAAGGGCGCATAAATTATGCGTTTTTGCATATATCCAAATGCAAAAATTGGCGACGTGCGCCAGGCAGGTCTGTGCGATCATGCGCTTTTGCAGTATTTCGTGATGTAGTATGATCGCTCGGAAAAAAAGTAGTTAGAAATTTTGAGTACTGATCCTCGAAGTTAGGGAAATTAATTGTGCAGCTATGTGGTGCTTGGTCTTCCTGTTTTCCTGGCTTCCGAGTTGGCGATTTTCGCGCCAAAACTTTCACTTGGTCATATGCAGAGGCCAGGGATGCCTGAGAATTAATACCGCGGCCCTGGGGTGGCATTTGACCTGCTGGCAAAATTTTGGCGCCGGAGCGTACTTGACTGCCAAGTTGAAATACCCGGACAGACGCACATACACACATGCACACCACTCGGGAACCAGAAAAGTTGAAAAGCTAAAATTTTACGGGATGTTCCCTAGCCATTTACTGCGCGTCGCCAATGAATTACTAGCGCCTGCAACAATGCAGGCAGCAAAGCCGGTATGCATGTTATTTTCATGCTCGTTCGTCAGCGTTTTTTGAAGAATAATTTTGCCATTTGGACCAAATATCGAGAATATTATCTCATGTTATTGATATTACTGGCCGCAATTATTGCAGGACAGTGGATCCTGAGCTGCGTAACTCCAGTCAGTACTCACCGCCTACATCTTCAAATATACATTTGCGCCACATCTTCAAATAAATGCTTCCGAAAAATTACAGTTTTAATTTCCGTCTCGTTCTAAACATAGCTGAAAATAGTCAAAAGTTTTAAAAACATTGTCATTTCTTAAAGTTGGCACTGGAATGTCACGCAGTTTTCCTGAAGAAACATTCACACGTCCTTCTTCTCAATGTCTAGCTGGAAAACGAGCTAACCTGAACTGCAAAATGATTATAGCGTTGCTTGAGCATCTCGCCAATTTCGGCGAACTTTGGCATTTGCAGCCAGCAAGTTTTGAATTCACATGAGCCACTAACTCCGTGACATCGGCACTGTTTGCGCATATTTTGAACAATCGCCTGAAACATTATTATAGACAGAACACAAATCCTAAACAATTTTCCTTCTGAACAATTATCAAGATATTATTTTCTTTATGTCATGGTCCCTGCAACGCGGAATGCTTTATCACGATTTAGTTTTCTAAAATTCTGTTCTTGAGAACAGCGAAACACATATAAGTAAGAATTATAACCACGAAAAAACATTTTTACACAAATAAAATTCATCGGATGCAGAAAGACCTAAAAATCCTTCTAGGAAGCTTTAACACATTTCCATAATAAATAAAAGGAGCTACAAATTCTTTCATTTGGTAGTTTAAAAAAATCATCTGCATAATCTCGAAAAAAAAAAACCTCTCGACCAACAAAATTGTTGTGAAGGTTCATCAGGTGCCGGATGTCGCGATCTTTTTCGTACTGCTCCCTTTCAAAACGGTCCAAGAATTGCTTAGCGAAATGAACACCGTATTTTGAGTTGTCCGAACAACCTCCCCATGAAAATTTTTCTCGTCCAATCGCGGCGGAATGATCCTGGAAGAAAACGACTGATTTCAAATTCTTTTACTTTAAAGTTATGGAATAAGGATTTTTTTCAAGAGGAAGTAACTGTAATTCAAGGCGTGAGTAATCCTTTAGATAGCGAAGCAAAAGCTTAAAAATAACCGACAGAACTTCCGTCTGGTGAATGCTGCTGGCAAAAGTACAAGCCTGTGCAGAGGTTTCAGTTGAAGAGTGAAAAACATGGCCTATTTTATGATAAGCTGATGATAAAAACTTGGTCCCAGTTAATTTAATACTTTTCTAATAGCGGTGGTGTACAGCCTATTTGTTCGTAGCACCCTGTTTTTGAGAGATGTGGATGGAGTTGGGTTACGCGAAGAGCAAGAGTTGATGATGAAACTAATCAAGACGGCTCGCACAATCGGGCATGTATTTCACACATGCCCGATTGTGCGAACCATCTTGATTATTTTGGTAATATGAGTATTAACTTTACAGATTAACTAATGAAAGAGACAAGCACACTTTCTTTTCATGCTTGCGCCTGTGAATATGCTTACATACGCCTGATCGCATGCAAAACTAGTCCGTATTAGAAAAAACACGAGTTAAGAATCTAAATTTTCGCTTCCAAACCCTCTACAGAGTGCAAGTTCCAAAAATAAATTCATTACAATCTCGTTCTTTGTGTCGAGTTTTAACGTTGATGTAATTTCAGTCTAATTGTATAACTTCACAACAAAATGGGATAAGACGTAGAAATTTAGGGTTACCTTTGACTTAACCGTGATAACTGCACTCGATCGTTCAAACTCAGTGACTCCACAAAGGTCGCAACCAGGCTCCCATTTCATTACCAATTTATTTCAGAAAGGAAATATAAATTAATTTTGATGCAGTAAATTTATTCAGTAACTGACACTTTTGGCAATGATGATAAGCAGCTGTTTCGCCATTTTTAAATTAACGTTGTATCAACAATAGAACATTGCTGGGCTAACGTTCCCTTTCCGGAACAGTGAAACATTTGCTTTACCGTATCCATTGCCGTTCTCTCTTTAAGGCTGCTAAAAGCAGACTATCAAGTAGGAGCTCTGAATTTACCCCTGTAGCTTGATGCAGGACATGATCATAAGATTTAGATAAATATGCGTACAGTACAGAAATGCGCTATGCTGGATAGCAGCTGCTTGTGTGAAACAAAATTACTGATAAAATGCTAACCAGGTCCGTGTATCGTTGTCCACCAGGTTGAGTGTCGCAGCCGCATTCGGTAAGGTTGCCTGCGCTACATCCTTTCGTTATTGCATGGACAATAGCTGCACTTGCAACTGCACCAATAAACGCAGTTTCCCTGTTCCCTAAAACGATACAACACAACAAAATCTTCTTCCTTACTTCTGGAAAAAAATAACCATTACAATTCGATAGAATTTTCGAACACTCCGCTTAAAAACTTCACGTTTCACAAGTTTTTAATTTTTTTAGTTCAAGAATTATGAATTTAAGAAAACACTACTGGCATCAAATTAAGTTCTAGAAGATGCGTGGTGTATGAATATTTTAAAGACTAGCCTAATTAAAAGGCGTGAACAGTAAAGTTAAGCAGAGGGGACTGCAGTAGCTAAATTTTGAGGCAAAGTCTTTTCATTTCAATTAGTAAACCGAAAAAAATCAGCTAATATCAAGCAGTTTCGAAAATATTTTGTTTTTTTTTAAATTAGGGAAATTTTAGCAAAAATTCCTTGAAAACTTTTGCACCTGCCATTTGTTTTTTGTACTTGATGGTGGACATCAGTGGGAGATGAACTATTTCTAGAGTTTGATAGAACTCAGTTAGCAGGCCATTTTAATTTAAATGAACGGGCAAGAATACCAGCTCGAAGCGTCCGCCCGAGAAGATCCTGAAATCCATTCGCAGTTGTATTAGTTTGTTTGTTTATCCGTTCTGAACAGTTCCATCTAAAACACACAACAATCCATTTATTCGCTTTTTCGAAGTTCAGCTGTATCAGTTTTTAATTTGTACGAACGACTTGTTCAAAATTCCATCCACCAATGACATTTTTCTCAAACAGCCACTTCCCTATCTTTAGTTTCTTGAGATTGGCACTTTATTGGTCAGTATCAAGAATACCAAGATCAAAACCTCCGGGCAATGAAACTCCTGGAATTTCTCTCACACGCTAGACGCGCTATGTCAGGCCGTTCAATCCTAAGCTGCGCATTTCAGACAGTACCATTAGTATTTAATATGTATTTCCGGAAAATATTTGTCTTTTTTTCAATTTTCCCAGGGAATGAGAGTTAATAGATTCCCAAACAGGCTTTCTTCTTTGACCGTTGAGTAGCAACAATAAATTTTCTAGAGTCTTAGAATGTTGAGTTTACTGCTTTTTTAACGTAGTATTTCAGGTCACCTCCGAGCCCGCATCGAAGAAAATCAACGCCACCAATGCCTAATTTTAGTCATGTAAAAGTTTTAAAGCAAACCTTTCAAACTTAAACTGGGCTTGGCATTCAACCACTGAATCTCGGGCGCCACGTCCAATCGATGGGATTGCAAACGGATGCTAAAAGATCTTGTTTCACATTCATGAAATACATCAAGCAATTAATACTTCCTGCGCTCCTCTCCCTTGAGATCGGCAAATACAGCCGTCGTAATAATAGCACCCTAGGCGCCAGTAACGACGCATACGCCAGCAAGCTCTGGATTTTTTCTGAAAAATTTATTCCGAAGGAAGTTTTGGCGAAATTCTTGGCAAATTTTCTTAAGCCAATTAAAGCGTTCTAGCTTTACTAGAATATTTGTTCTACATACGCAGGCATGTAGACATAAAATTAGCTTTAGCTTTCGTTTGCATCACGTGTTCAGACGCATCAAAGATGTTTGTAACGAAAAGTGAGGATATCTTATTTTACGGGGAAATTTCACGCCAACGTGCTGCCCGATATTTCAAATTCAACAGTAGCAATCAGTTCCTCTAAAGAATGAAATCATGCAAATGCATGAGCACACCGGCAAACGTGATGTGTTGCTACCTGGATTATTTCTTATTAACAGTCTATTAATAGCAGCAAGAGCTGCCAGAGCACTCATTCAATATTCTTAATACCGAGTTACAGACCAATAGTTCTGATAAACCTTTCTCTTCAGCGGTAGAAAAAAAAAATATTTCGAGCTGTGCGAAAAAACAGAGCTCCTTTAAAAAAACAGGTGCACATCCGATAATTTTTAAAAGCGGACGAGTAATGTTCGTTTAATAGACTACATTTTAACTATAAAGGTTTCAAATTACATAATAACTAAAGTGTCAGTTTTATATGACAGCTACGGTATAACCACTTTAAAAGTGAAGTGCTGCATAATAAGTGGAAAAACAATTATATAGCGCATAATTCCTGAAGGCTAGTACATCTATTCTGCTTTCCAAATCTCCTCTCAGTCACCTCCTCCCCTCCCCGCCTTCGCTCTTCTCTTCCTATACCCCGTCTTCCTTCTCTTCCATTACACAAATATTACCTTTTTTTAAAAAACAAACCAGCTGTCTCAAAATACAGTAATAATCATCACACATGTGTGCTCCCTCATCTTAAATTTTCTAACTGGTCGCATATTGTTTAGCGGATATCGGTCACGAGTATGAGGCATTTACCAACTGTCATTAAAGTAACTACGTCTCTCATTTGGCGTATTATGCTTTCCTTCCTGGCAGTGCTTTGTTCCCAAATAACAATAATAATAATAACATTAATAATAATGGTAATAATGTAGCTGCCCCCCCTGCGTCAGTGCTTCTCAGCAACAATACTATGATCGGTTCATTACGTCGACCGCAGAAACGATCTGGGTAGTTAAAGAAAAGGTCAGTCACGCAAGTTCATAATTACTAAAAACATATTTCAACGCTACTGGGTTGGTGATAGTATGATACAGTAAGTGTAGAAAAAAGTTAAAACGGTTAGAGTAGTACGATAGAAAAAAAGAGAAATTTGTATATTTTCCTTGGAAAAGACTCTATCTCCATACAACCATCCAACATGGTCAGACTTTCATGGATTTCAGATTTGAAAACTGCCTGAAAAGCTAAACTGAAAACGGCATGAGGCCTTAGCATGTCACACTGGTTTAGCAAATAGATTGAAAAGTTCCGTCAAAAGAAAGTAAAGAATCACGGATGAAGTGGGACGCATGGTGCACAAAATGCAATGAAGCTGGAAAATGAGGTTAGCCTAAATTATTTCTGTTCACTCTGCATGCGGAGTTGTCAGAGCGAACCGTACTCGAAAATTCGCTAAAATCTTTCAGCATATTATGAGTTTCCTAAAAAATTTAATTCATAATTTAAAAAATATCAGCACCGGAGTGCTGCGTTGGATGAATTTGTGTTGAAACTGTGTCATCATTTACCTGTTGACAGATGCTAATCTGCGCAGGATTCAGGCCTGGCAACCGCTCGCATAGTACCCGATATTGCTGTTTATCGTAGTCAGATGTTGCAAGGAATGCTGGAGAATATTGAGCTGTTGACGATAATGCCAGCGACCTGCACTAGTTTTTACAAAAAGCTTTTATCCCTTAAAAATTATGGGGCATAAATCTTTGCCATCGTCTAGTTTTACTGTAAAGGCAGCTTTTAAATTAGTTGCTTGAAAATCTAGCAATTTCAAAAACACCTGCTATGCAAAAGTCAATTTTATGATGCGGCACATTTCTACACTGACGGGGGCATTACAAATGCCTTACACATAGTTGAACGTAAGTGTAGCAGGCTTGCCTCCTGAACGAAGTGTCGGCTTCTTACGATAAAACATAGCTGCATGACTTGTTCTTAACTACAGATTGCTGCGAGGGTTCAAGCCATATTGGAAAACACGCAAAATTATGGCCCGCTTTTAGCTCCTGGAGGAAAAGCTCTGCTTTGCTTGAGCACTATCTAGGCGCTTTCACGCAGCGGGGTCATGCTTAGTCCTGATTTCGCTAGAGCTCTGCCATGTCGGGAATAATCTCGCCCCGCTTTGGCCACATTGAAGAAAAACTGAAAGTATGGAGCAGAACAATATGCCTAACAAACAAAGTAGTGCCAGCTCATTTGCTCTTCTCTTTACGAAAGATGAAAATTTGAGCAATATAAATGAGCAGGTGGTTGGCCGGCCTGATTTGCTGGGCAAGTGTGCCAAGGCAGGAAAATTAGCTTACAGCCAGTTGTAGTGCTGAGCCAGAGCGACGTCGATTAGGAATGTAACTGTTGCTGTTAAGCAGTGATTTAGAAGCACCGTTGCCCGCATTTCTCCTCTTTCCACTGCTCCCTCAGCACAGCTATCAGCCACTAAAAATCTGCTGCTTGCTCAACATCGGTGGCTTTGCTGCTTTAGATCCGTGCACCTTCTTCCGTCTCAAATTTTTTTCGCTTCGCCAAGATTTTAAAACTTTTTAAACTCAATAAGCTCGATAACACAGTCAGGACAATGAGGGTCTGATGTAGTACAGAGCGCAGAATACCAATATCCAGAAAGTCGTCGTAAACAGCAACCCAGTATAACTGTATGGATTTACAGGAATAAAGGCTGAAGGTGTGCGGGTGCGATGGCTCTGTATTTGTCGTCTCGGCTGGGTTATTGAGGATGATTTTGTGCGTTGTTAACGCCAGCAAAATACGGCTCATTTACATTTATTGCCTCTTCCTCTTTGAAACGACTTGCTGTCACCCGTATTTGGTCGATTTGCCTCTCTCCCTCTGCCCTCCGCCTATTTTGAGAATATGCCTGTCTTCCCTCTTCCTCCTCCTACACCAATTGCAGCAGCAGTTTGAGCAACAGCAGGTACGCACGAATTACCGTACAACTCTTTCAGCCTGAAAATTGGTGTAAATTTGCTGCATCCGATGCATTTACAGTGATAAACTATGGCAGCGCCTAACAACAAAGCAAAAACACAAGCGCTCACTCGTTAGCGTGGCATGAGCGGAAAGGAGCTGGAAGAAGTCTTCATTTCTTTAAAAGAGCATTTGTCAAATCTCCCTCGACAAATCAAAAATCAGTAATGTTTTAAAAGCTTGCAGTTGTCAGTACTCCATAAATTTTAGCTCGTTGAGGTCGCTATACTATAAATGTGGTAGAAGCCGAAAAAAACCTCAGCGAAGCTTATATCCATGCTAAACTTTCTGAAAAAATACCACATTTTATCCGACTAAACCCGGAGGTACCAGTGACCACTGTTAACCTAATTAACAAACGCTGATGAAGAGCGGCCATGCAGCTAGTATAAAAAAGCAGAACTTTGTTATTATCCAGCTAGCAGAAAAAGAGTAGCAAAGTGTACTCATGAAGCGTGTCACCGAGAAAACTTGAAATAAAGCGAGTGGGGCTTCAGTACATTGCGTGCTGCCCTCTACACTGGTAAAAAAAGTAAAGAACAGTTGTGAGTTTGGACAGAACCTGGTGACTATTACGAAATGAGCTCAGCCTCGCTACATGAAAGTACAACTTAAGTCGCTGCTGTAAATAAAGAATTTGCCAATCGTTTTCAGGAAGTAACAAAACACTGCCCTCTTTAAACGTGAAAAACACGGCGAAAGATGGAGATCGACGCAAGCTGAAAAGATGGTAGCGCGATTTGCTCAGTATTGATACAGAAACGATAGCGGAATCAGGTTTATCGTCAAGGAAAATCATCATCGCAATTTCCATCGCTTGCGCTTAATCCATTTCTGCTTCAGATAGAACTACTGAAGATGTTAAGGCAGTTCAAGTGCGTCTGTTTCTCTTTTTGTCCATATATTTCAATTTTAGAACTATATGATCTGGACATTAAAATTCCTTGAACAAAGTTTCTGACGGCTTGAAAGATCTCGAATTTGGAACCTGCTTTTAGATCGTGCTGTGTCAACCCAAATGTATCTTTAACTTTAAAGCCAAATTAAGAAGAATTCCATTGCTCCAAACCAAAAATGTTACAAGCCTAAAATTTTCGGTAAAGCTAAAATTAATCCGCAAATCATTTTTTCTAAAGATATTTTGAGCTCAAGTCAACTTTAAGCAAATTGCATGAGTCCGGAGCTAAAGAAGTTGTAAGCTTGAATTTTTGGAAAAGAATCTGATAGTGCACGAAGACGAAATACGGAAGACAACCATTATCTTATCCTACATCTTGAATTTTAATGCTGAGTCCAAATCTTGACAAATTTTAATAATCGAGAAACAACATAAAATCCTGAAATTTCTGACATGCGAAGCCATAAGCCTTAACTCAACTCAAATTTCTTTCTGCGCCCTGACCAAAAACTTCAAGTCCAAATTTTTTTTAGCCGGGCAACAAGCAAAACCGCGAATTTGGTACACTGAGAGTTTAATTTGGCAAGCACAGCAATTTGTCAAACTTAAATTTCATCCCATAACTCTCTCAGCAAGGCTGAAGATCCGGCAAACGTAACCACGTCCTTGTTTACAGCGCGGAAATATTTCCTTCCACATGCTGTAACTGTTTTTGGACGACGTGTCACTTCCAAATAGCTTTACCGTAGCTGTTTTACTACTTTATCAAATGGTCCGTTGTATTTCTCCTTGTTGCCTTTGTAAAGGCAGCCACACAGTGTGTTAATGGTTCGGCGATGGAAGCATATAGAAGGTTATGTCACATTCATTTTTTATGCATGTTTCTACGTAAATTAGCACAGAGCTGCTTTTTAAAAGACCTTTCCTCCGTGTAGGTATTTGTGTGAGCGTGTGAAAGCTAGGAAGTTAAAATATGAGAGCAACTTCTCTGGTCAGATGTAATTCCAAAACCATAAATTAACACTCATTTTTTCCTAAGTCCTTAAGCCGAAGAAACTAGGGTTTTGAAAGGAAAACATGTCAATGCATTCACGAAAAAAAGCAAAGCGTGCCATTTTTTATTTGGCTTGGCTGCATATTATTCAGAAGAGTATTGCGACGGTACCGTAAAAGCTTATCATCAAAAAAGTACTGTGACAGTTTCATTCCGTATATCTCCTGTGGGCAGCAAAAAAGCATAGCTAAACCAGCCCTCGATGTGTATGTGTGTGTGTGTGTGT